CGCCGCTCGCACGTGTGTCTGTGCATATGTGTGTGTCCGGGGAGGGGTTGGGGGGGGGCTTCTTTTGAGGAAGAGGCCGCAATGTGTTCTTGTCTCTAGTTAATCAATTATCGGTTTCCGTGGTGTAGCCCAGGGATTAGGCACTTCGTCGTAACTTGCAGAAAACTTGTGTTTGATTCTCGTGTGAGGAGATTTTTTTTTTCAAGTATCTCCGTCTTTCTGCTGGGACATTACATCCCTCTTTCGCTGTATGCCATGACCTTGAAATAATAAAAAAAACTTACTGAGGTCTTTCTCTTTCTCTCTCTCTCTCTCTCTCTATCTCTCTCTCTCTCTCTCTCTCTCTCTCTCTTTCTTTCTCTCTCTCTCTCTCTCTCTCCTGTTTGTTTGTGTATTTGAACAGTATTGTGTATGTATAGTGTTTATGAATGTATGTATGCGTACGTGAATGTATTTCGAATGTAATGCGCATTGAGCATCTTTTAGAAAATGGAAATGCGCAGTATAAATGTTATTTATTATTATTAGTGAATGTACAGAGAAAGTAATCTTTTCCTCTTCCATCCTCTCTCATCCTTATCTTGTCTTTCAGTTCAATCAATAAGGCTGCTCAAACCTTCTAAACGCTTATTCCGTATAACAAACATAATTTTCAGTGTCGATAGAAGTTCTTAATCAAGACGCCCAGGATTTACGTAAGGCTCTTAAGGTAAGTGTTAGATCTACGTGTTTTCTTTATTATAAGATCAGTTACTCTTGAAATAGCTTTGAATATCATAGCTATTTGTCTCTTTAAAACATGATCTTTCATTATTATTATTATTATTGTGATTATTATTATTTTGATTGTCATTATTATTATTACTATCATTACTACTACTATTATTATTACTTTTGGGGTTTTATGACGGAGGTGGGGTGGGGGGGGTCGTAATTGTTTGGGCTGGGGATGGGGGTTGGTTTGTTTTGTTTTTGTTCTGTTTCTTTTGGTGGGTTGGTTTGGGGGAGGGGGTTGTTTTTTGTTTTTGTTTTTTTGTTTTGTTTCTTTGAGTTGTTTGTTTTTGTTTTGCACATCTCTTTTGACTGCGATCAAGTTGCATGGATTATCGACCAAATTATGAACTGGAAAAGTGACATACCGTACCATTTTTTAAATGTATTTTTGTTTTTTAGAAACGTTTTGATCTACATCCATCTCTTGAAAGTCAAACGGTACATGTATAGGGAAATACTGCAACAACTAGTTCACTTGTAACAGAACAGAGTTTTCGTGAAACATACAAGTGCCTAATTTAGACACAGAAGAGACGGTGAACACATTACCAAACAACTGAACCCGAATGAATACGTTGTTTTGGTGTGTGTGGGGGGGGGGGGGGGGGGGGGGTTACCGTGTTCACGTTTTGTATTTGTACCCATTCAATATTATTTTGATTTCCAGGAAACTTCCGAAGTCTTGGAAAGGATAGGCAATCGAAATCAGAATGAACCTGGGGATCGATTCCAAGACGTAATGGGTGTATCCTTTCCTGGAAAATGTGCGTGTTAAAACTACTAATATATTATGTAATTACATGTACTCTTCTCAAATTCATCTCATTGTACTTGAGTTACCATTGCAACTGCCTCCCCTCTCCTCTCTCCTCTCTCTCTCTCTCTCTCTCTCTCTCTCTCTCTCTCTCTCTCTCTCTCTCCCTCTCCTTTGCATCTCTCAGTTAATAGGTGCTTTTATGGGTGTCCATGTGCATTTGTAGGGGAACAGGGTGTGTGCAGACAGATGCTTAGAGAGAGACACACACTCCGACAGTCACAGTCAGACAGAATGACCGATAGAAGAAAAGACACGCACATAAGCAGGCAGGCAGATAGGCGGGCAGGCAGAAAATCAGCCATTAATAATTTAATAAAAAGAATCCATTACATGAGTTAAGGTCGTAGAACATGGTTTATCCATTTTGTGAAATTGCCAATAAAACGTTACGACCTGCTCGTCAACAGCCAAACATAATTACATTTAGAATTCACAATTATAAAGGCATTGTTGCCGGAGCTGCTTTTCTTTGACCCATGTCAGCACTTTATAGCGGAGGCCACTGACGAAATACAAAGTGTGTTTCGTCTTCAGGCTGCAGCAAAGGCAGCTTTCTCGGAAACCGTTGTCTACTTTGGGGAAGACCCCAAGACAATGACCACCAATGACGTCTTCGAAATATTCTCTGAATTCATAAGAAATTTTGAGGTAAGAGTGTTGCATTTTATGTCATTTTATTCGGGTTATCTGGTGAAATAACAAGGAGAAAGTTGAAACAGAAAGAAGTGGGAGAGGAGGGATGAGAGCATCGAGAGAAGGGGGAGCAGAGAGATGCGCGCGTTTGTACATGTGTTTTGTGTGTATGTATGTGTGGGTGTGTTTGTGCATGTGTGTGTATACGTGCGTGCATGCGTTTGTGTTTCTTGTTTAGCATCCCTGTTGGGATTTCAACAATTATTTTAAAGCAAG